ATTGTAAATTTTGGTCAATGACATGAGACAAAGTATATGTGAACTGCTGTATGAAAAGTGAATTTACTCTGTAAATCTTCACCCAAATCCTAATAATAAAAAAAAAAAAAGAGATATGAAGAGTTTTATGTTTTCAGTCTAAACAAATAAATACAGTTGATTAAAAAAAAAAATTTATATTGATTTTATTTTTTAGGAATATGGTGGACAGTAACAAACTTTGGTGAAATTTCAGGAACCATAGCCATTGAAATGGATAAAGGTACCTATATACATGCACTTGACAATGGTCTTTTTACACTGGGCGCTCCGCATAAAGAAGGTTTGTATGTATTTTATGACATTTATTTAGACCAGATTCTAACTAGTTTCAAGTATGTTCCAAAGGAATGGAACCATTGCATTTGACTCTTCCACTCTTTTGCTTCCTCAAAACTTACCCACTATTGGCAACTCCCTGTTTCCAATATAAGCATGTCATAGCATTCTGTATAGTTCCAGAAGAGAATCTGTTGAAATAAAAAAACAACACAAATAATTAAAATAGTAAGTGGAAAGAAAAGATAAAATCTGATTAAGTCAAAGGTTTTCATTTCTTCATTCTTTGGAGCTTTTACTAAAACTAACTTGGGGCTTAGTTAACAGTTTGAAGTTTTGTCTTCCCCTTTAGCCCATCAGAAGACTAGTAATGAAGTTGGAAGTAACTGAAGAGTAAAAAGCATTTGGTCAGAATTATAATACCTGGAATAAATGAGAATATTTAGTTTTAAAAAAGTTAAGTGCCTATTTGTTTATGCACTGTATTTTAAAACTCAAAGAGAAATCTTGACAATACCTAAATAAGCAACATGCCAACCTATCTTATTAAGGTGCAAAAACTAACACTGTAATTCTAAGGAGATAAAATAGATCTACCTTGGTAATATAGAAACTATTGTTACATCAAAATATTATTACATTTAAATAAGGAACAGCCAGTTTTTACCCATCGGAAAAATGAATTAATCATCATAGTGAGAAAGACAAACAGTTTAAAGGATCTACATTTTTTCTCCCGTTGAAAAGCTCTGATGCTTACTTACTTTAAACTATTTTGTAAATATATATGTAAAGAATATCTTTACATATATATTTACAATAAATGTCAAATTTATTTTAAAATGGTTCTGTTTTGTAGTGGATGAGGGCCCTAGTCCTCCAGAGCAGTTTACAGCTGTCAAACTCTCTGATTCCAGGTAAGCTTGAATTGAACAATAATCAGTAGCATTTTATTTTTTATGTGTATTTAATTCATCTCTTAAATATTCCAGTATCTAGCAAACTTAAACCCACAGAGTAATTTTTATTCACAAAGCAAAATTTGTTTTTTGTTTTGAAAAGTTGATTTTGTGGCATTTCAAAAGTACAGGATTATTTGTATATCCAGTAATTATTTAGGTATTGTGTTAGATTTGCAAAAACTGTGCCTTTAGAAGAGAATTAAAGCTTCATGTATAAAAATGAAGAAAACCAAAGCCACTGTCACAGAGGCAATTCTAACTCATAGCAACTCCCATAGGGTTTCCAAGGCTGTAAATCTTTATGGAAGCAGACTGCCTCATCTTTCTCTCATGGAGCAGCTGTTGGGTTCGAACCACTGACCTTTTGATTAGCAGTCTGATGCCTTAACCACTGTGCCACCAGAGCTCCCACCCTGTATAAAGCATACATTATTATCCATGACAATATTTTAGATAATTAAAGGAAAAAGATGTTTGTATGTGTTGATTTTTTTTTTTAAACCCAGTAAGTACTTCTACATGAATTGTGTCTTAAGAAGTACAAGATATCTTGAGCCACATCAAACATGTATTTTTAACTTTTTTCTTAATTAGTACTTTATTAGAATGAAAATCTCATTATAGGGAAATCACGTGGGTATATGTAAACTATTTTTATATTCCATATTGAACTTCTTTCTCTTAGTTAATGTATGTATATACTGTTACTATGTTCTGTATTAAACTTTCTTTCTCTTTAATGTTTATCTATTTTATTACTCTGAAGAATTGCCCTGAAATCTGGCTATGGAAAATACCTTGGTATAAATTCGGATGGACTCGTTGTTGGGCGTTCAGATGCAATTGGACCAAGAGAACAGTGGGAGCCGGTCTTCCAAGATGTAAGTATTATTATTATTATTAATTATTATTGTTTATAAAACCCTTTTGTCAGGGTGAGATAAAGCCTTTAAAAGTTAAGGAGAGCATGTATTCTTTAAAAATATGTATATAATAATATAGTATATTAAATTAGAAAAATAAATCATATGAACTCATAATGTTAAAAAAATCTTAAAAAATGGTGTAACAAAAATAGCATTAATACTTTTATGCCATCATTCCTTTATATCCCTACTGCCTAGATTTAGTCTCTCTTAATTTTTATTAGGGAGCTCTGGTAGCATAGTGCCTAAGGCACTTGACTACTAACCAGAAGGCTGGCGGTTCAAACCCACCAGACACCCCTCGGAAGGAAGATGGGGCAATCTACTTCTGTAGTTATGCTGCCTCGGAAACCCAAGGAGGGGTCGCTATGAGTTGGGTCCAACTCAAGGGCACATAACAACAACAACAACAATTTTTATTAATGAAGTAGGACTCCTGAGAGGGTAGCCAATTGTAAGTCTTAGGACAGGAAAACAAGGATAGTTTGAAGGATCTTTTATTAGCAAGAATTAGGATGCTTTCAAAACATGAGGAACCTTTATTAAAGGACCCTGAAACACATTTAAGGGAATGGCCACTGATCAAATCATGACAGTTTGTGCATAAAATAATAATAGTTCTATTTTACTCTTTTTTGTATGTTCTTACCAACCAAAACCAAACCAAATCTACTGCCATCAAGTCAGTTCTGAGTCATAGTGACCCCCATTGCCCCATCTTCCTTCTGCAGAGTGCCTGATGAGTTTGACCCACCAACCTTCTGGTTAGCAGCCAAATGCTTTACACACTGTGCCACCAGAACTCACCAGGATTGATCAAATTGATTTCATGACCCAAGAATAGGCTGCCACCCCTTCTAGATGTTCCTACTAATTATGATGAGATACTAATAATAAAAGTTATACCAACAGAAGAGACTAATATATCATGATAACAGACATTACCAATTATATAGAACTTTAATACAGGCCATTTTATTCATTCATTTCATTTCTGAGCAAGAGACTAAGTTTGAAATATTTTTTAAAATTTTAAAAATTGTATTGTGCTTTAGGTGTAAGTTTTCAGGGCAAATTAGTTTCCCACGCAGTAGTTTGTATATAAAGTGTTCATAACATTGATTGCATTCCTTACACTGTGTTGGCACTTTCCCCATTTCTGCCCAGGATTCTGTTTCCTTTCATCCGAATTATCTACCCCTTCTTGCCTTCTGATCTTTGCTTTTGGGCAAATAATGTCCTTTTGATCTCATATTAATGTTTGTTTTAAGGTACATATTCCTCTCAAGTGTTACTGTTTATTTTATGAGCCTATTGTTTGGCTGAAAGGTAGTCTCTGGAAATAGCTTCAGTTCCAGGTCAGAAGGCCATTCTCTCAGAGGTTCTTTCAGTGTCTGTCAGACCAGTAAGTCTGGTCTTTTATGTGAATTTTTTTTCCTTCTACATTTTTCTTCCTCTCTAAGACCTTTGTTGTGAACCCAGTCAGAGTAATCAATAGAGGTAGCCAGACACCATCTAGTTCTTCTGGTCTCAGGGTTGTATAGGCTGTGATTCATGTGGTCCATAGTCCTTTGGACTAATTACTCCCTTGGGTCCTTGGTTTTCTTCACTCTCCTTTGCTCCAAATGGAACGAAATAAATAGTTGTATCTTAGATGGCTACTCACAAGCTTTCAAGACCCCAGATGTTAGTCACCAAAGGAGAATGCAGAATATGGCTTTACGAACTATATTGTGCCAATTGACATGGATGCCCTCTAAGTCTATGGTGCTTTACCTTTGAGCCTAGGAACTTCATCCCATGAGATATTTGTTTATATCTAACAATATAACTAAATTGGTTATTTGGTTATAAACCAAATTTGGTTACATCTAACAAGGGGCATTTCCATGAATAAGCCCCTTGTCCACTCTATTAACTATATTAATATATGTGCGTCACCTACAACTATGTATGTAGAAATATTCACAACCAAACCTGTATTTGCAGGTGGTTGTGCTCCCTTACACCCTCCCATACCTCTTTAGCATACCTATCTACCTAAGTATCTATTCATGTTTGTCAATGCTATTGTTGCTGGATTATCTATGTTATATTAATTAGTGTAGTTACCCTTTATTGTTGTATTACTCTCAGTGTCTTCCTTTGCCTTGGTCATGTTGTGCTGACTTCCTCCATATTATGCATTGCCTTTCTCTTCACCATTATTAACACGTCTTCTATTATTAATTTTCCCTCCCTCTCCCTCCCATCCCTGGTAACCATCAAAGAATGTTTTGTTCTTTTCTTATAATGATGTTGTATACAATATTTCTCCTTTTTTGAATAATGTATTTCATTCAGCATAATGTCCCCCATGAAGTATTTTAATTTCATGGAAAGAGAGACTTAAAAGTCTCTAGTGTAACATGTAAAACTTGATTCCAAAAAGGAACACAGCCAAATGATCAGCAGTAAAGGTTTGAATCAGCTTAGACCACCAAGACTCTTGACTCAACCAAGAATCAGCCGGATGACACAACCCGGTCTTCAATAAGAAATTAAATGAAACCCATGTTATTAATATTTTCATAACTGTAAATCGCCCCCATTGCTGTCCAGCTGATTGCAACTCTGTGGGACAGAGTAGAACTGCTGCCCTATAGGGTTTCCAAGGCTATAACACTTTATGAAAGCAGACTGTCACATCTTTGTCCCATGCAGTCGCTGGAGGGTTTGAACCACCCACATTTTGATCAGCAGCAGAGCACTTAACAACTGCACTACCAGGGCACCTTAACTAGTGATAAGCTTATTAATACATAGAACTCAGAAAAGTGTGAATGTTTCTTATAAAATATACATTGGTTCTTGAAGTTCTGGATAGTAAATCAATTTTTATATTTCCTAATTATAATGAAATTTTACTTAAAACACTATGGTTAGAGTAAATTATCTTATCTTGTATTAATAATTTTTTATTATGTCTACAAAGCTAACTTCTTTTTTTTTAATTGTTATTTGGGTGAAAGTTTACAGAGCAAATTCACTTTGCAGCAGCTCACATACACTTTGTCTCATGACATTGACTACAGTTTACCACAATGCAAAAGCTCGTCTCCCACGTCCTCCCCATAGTTACCTCTTCCCTATGTCCTTCCCTGCATGCACTCTTGCCCCCTGAGCTGTCTCCCTGTGCATAAGCAGCCCTTCTGTTCTCCCATGATTATTCTCTCCAAGGAGTGTATCTACCTCATGTAAATGTTCACCTCATATGTATAAAGCTAACTTAAACTGAACTAAATCAGTTACATCTTCAGTATATCTGTTATGGATTGAATTGTGTCCCCAAAAAGTACCTTTTATAAATCCTATCCTCTGTCGCCGTTTTGGTATAGATTGTCTTTGTTATGTTAACCAGGCAGGGTTAGCACAGGGTATATCGGAATCAATCTCTTGAGAAATAAAAGAGATTAAACAAGCAAAAGGGCAGAGATATGGGAAGAGGGATGCTAGCGCACATGAAGACTGCCCACGTGCAGAAGCTTGGAGAAGACCAGGTCCTTCTTCTAGAGCCAACAAAGAAAGCCTTCCATTATACCTGGCACCCTAAGTTCAGACTTCTGACCTCCTAATCTAAGTCAAAATAAATTTCTGGTTGTTAAAGCCATCCACTTGTGCTATTCTATTATAGCAGCACTAGATAACTAAGACAGAACTTGGTACCAAAATGTGGAGGGGTGCTGCTCTAACAAATACCTACAATCTAGAAGTGGTTTTGGAAATGAATAACAGGTAGAGGGTGATAGAGTTTTAAGGTCGTCTAGTGCCTTAGGCATCTGACTGCTAACCAGAAGTCAGGCAGTTCAAACCCACCAGCCACTCCTCGGAAGGAAGATTGGGTAATCTACATCCATAGAGATACTGCCTCAGAAACCCAAGGAGGGGTCACTATGAGTCGGGACTGACTCAATAGCAGTGAGTTTAATAGTAAAAGCCTAGATTTTCTTGAAGAGACTGTTGGTAGAATTATGATGTCAAATCTAATTCTGATGAGGGCTCAGAGGGAAGTGAGGAGTGTCTGGTCTACGTTGCTAGAAATATGGATAGTAAATATGCTTCTGGTGAGACTGTAAAAGAAAATAATGAACGTGTAATTGAATAATAGAAAAAGGTCGGTGCTTTTCATGCAGTGGCAAAGAACTGAATTATTCTCAAATGTTTAGTGGAAGTAGAACTTGTAAGTGATGAACTTGGATATCTGGCTAAGAATATTTCCAAGCAAGATCTTAAAGGGGCTGCATGGTTTCTCCTTGCTGCTTATAGTAAAATGTGAGAGGAATTAGATAAGACTTAAAAATGAATTGTGCAAAATGCATGCAGTACTGCATTGTCAGTGAAGGCAAACATGGGTATACGGATGGATAGATGGGTGGACAGGCTAAACGATTAGGTATGTCTATGAAATGGGGAGTGTATCCAAGAACATATATAGGGTTGGCAGACAATGGTCCTATAAGTTTATGCGAATGATC